GGGGGGGGGGGGGGGGGGGGGGGGGGGAGGAGATGATTATAACCCAAACCTACCTTGTCATTCATGCAGCACACTCTGGGGCACCTTCTCCAATCTGTGCTGCCACCATGTGGCCACCTAATTTCTGCATATTTTACATAAACACAAGTCATCTGCAGCCTCACATGGGTTCTCCTGCTTGTTCACTACAGCCTGGTTTTACCCCCTTGCACTTCAGATAACTGTTTGTCACCTTTTTATGTTAATCTACTTGTATATCATCAGAAAGAAAACAGTTATTGCAAGGCATTTGCACTATGTTGTTATGATAAAAATGGGAAAAAAATAATGCAACACAGATGAAACATTCCAGATACATTATTGACAAAACTAGATTTTACAAAAATGCCTAATGCTTGAGTTAAAATTCGTAAGACTAACAAATAAGGCTTTGCATCAGAGGAATTTACAGAGATGAGACGTTCTGCTTCTGCAGTCTTTACCCATCAATGTATTCATGTTTCTCTCAGTCATCAGGAATTCAAAAAAATCTGTTCTGTGAAAGCAGGAGGAAATAAAGAAAAAGTAAAGTTAGCATTCAGGTAACAGTGCTGCGTATTAGCAATCAGATTCAAATTCTAGATTCATTAGACTACATTCATTTCTTCTCCCAACAAGCTTATCTTCACACAAGCTCAATAGGGCTTTAACATGCAAGGTTTGCTTTCCTGGAGATGTAAACATACACAGGCAGATATTCAGACCAATTGCAGTATGAAAAGGTAGATTACAGCAAGCCACCCACCTCCCAAAAAACCCTCTATCAAAATAGTTCTTAGCCTATCATTGAAGAACAACATTCATATTCAAGGATTCAGACTTTGAATGTTTGCAATTCAATCAGCATCCTGAAATATTTTGTATTCTCCTCTCTCTTGCCTTCCCATGTGCAAGCGTCAGGACTTTACTGCCTGATTTAAGCAGCGGCATTTCCAATGTGTCTCTGTATCTAGTTGTCTGGTAAGGACAGGTTGGGGGAAAAAACTACAAATTAGTTTGGTCAGCATGTCCCCTCTGATAGCCTTTTCTCTTCATTGTGTCCGAAGGTACTAGATGCACAGCAGCTTCTGGGATAGGCAACAGAAGAAGGTTCATTAGGATATCATACAAGGGAAATGACTGCCTACCTATATGCTTGCCCAAAAAGACACTGCTGGTCCAACAGACTGAGAAGGATACAGGTAACATTATGATGCAACAAAGATCAGCCCCCAGAAGAGACAAATGCCTGACACAGCAGACTAATAATACAGGGCCCAGGTCAGAGGACTTAGAGGGATGGATTGCTACGTTCTCCATGGCATAAAGAATGGAAATGTATTAAGTTGCTTGCTCTTTGTTCCACTTCAGGAGCCCGCTTGGCATCTGTTTTTATTAAATAAATTAGGTGATTGCTATGGTACCTGAAAGGATGTAGAGATTGTGTAGTATGCAGGCCTGAAGTCTAAGAGGCCCCATGCTACCAATATTATCTGAGAAATCCTCTCTGCTGCAAATGTTCCTATCTGTGGCATCAGATCAGAAAGGTGTAAAGAATTAGAGCTGGGCATCAAGGTGTTGTTTCCCATGGAAAGATATTGACTTTTTGGTAAAAACTTGAACATTTTCAGTCCAATGTTTGGTTGAAAACAGGAGGCTTTGAGCTGGAAGTGCTGCTGTGGTGCCTTGTAGGAGGATGGTAGCACGAGTGCCTTAGACACCCACCCACTCCCCCAGTGCTCCTCTATGGGGCAGAGCACGTGCCCCGTGATGCATTTATTTTGTTTCTTGCTATATCACAGTATATATCGTAGAAGCCCTTGGCTGTGGTGCATTATGGGAAATAGTGTACTGACAAATGAGGGCATGAGGCTCCTGAACTCCAACCCCTGCAAGATACCACGGCATCTTTTCCACATATTTCCACGCTGGTCTTTTTTCCAATGAAAAGTTGAAACTTCTTGTGAATTCCTGAAGCTAAGCCCCATAGCTGACAGGCCTTTAGGCCAGACCTTGGGGCAAGCGCTGATTGTTTTAGGCATCTTTTCTCAGTCTGGCACTTCAGTGTCATAGTGTCAGATATAAAAGGAGGCAAGACAGGCAGGGAGGAGAGGGCGCTTTAAAACTCGCTTCTCCCGGAAGCGGGAGAGAGATGTGTCCCTGAAGCACCTTCAGTAGCCCTGCGGTAGGATGCTTAGACTCTAAATCAGCTCTTGCAGAATTAGAAGCACACATGCACACGCACGCACGCACACGCACACCGGTCCTATCCAAACCCCCAGGAGTATGGTTTACATCTGTCAAAAATCTGATGATACATTTAGATTGCTTATGACTCCTTGAAGTCCACTAGGGACCTTGTTATTCCAATCTAGTTAAACTGGGCAGCATGTTACACTGTGATTATCGGCAGCAGTACAAAATCCAATATAGGCCAAATGTTATGAACATAATTTTAGTATTTACTACTACATGTTATTGCAAAAACAGTCTGATGAATTATGGATACCACGTCAATGGGGACTTTTTTATTTCGGATTTCTCATCATTTTCGGGCTTTAAGGCACTCATCAGAAATACAAAAAGATGCTTAAACTGACAGAGCTGGTACAAAATCTCCATAGCACAATTACACAGTGATGTTACAGATTCTTTGGCGTGTTTTGGCATTTAGCATTCTCCACTTCTCTTCCTGCCTGGGGTGACCCTTCTGACTCCCTCGGGTCCTAGGAGTCGGAGTTCATGAACCCCAATCAGGAGGTTTTTCCAACTGCAATCAAAGGTCAGGCCTCAAGCACTTTGAAATCTTGACTGACATATGGGTTTAGTCCATTGCCACGGAAACACAGATGCAAGACGCTATCAGCCAAACTGCTAATGTTGTCCTGAATTTTTGCACTTGATTTTGGCTTTTAAGGTGATCAGAAATAGAATATTGTTTCCACATTTCAGATGCAAAGCTCCTGAGGGAATTTACACAAGAGGGATGTCATCCACGTATCCTAAATCAGTGCATACTATTCCACAGCAGAACTGTGGGACCTTTTATCTAGTGATATTCTGATATAAATATCACTTCGATTTTATTTAAAAAAATCATTCTTAAAGTATTAAAAAAATAAGAGCAGGGAGTTGAGATGCGCCATCTTCACTCCTCATCTGATTCATTTAAGAGGGCAGTATGGGAGCCTTGGTCATTTTTCTGCTTCCGGACCCCAAGTCCAATATCCATTTCTCCGCTGATTCTCCTGCACTTCTGGATATAGCTGTAACACACAAACAACAGCTCATGGGTATCCAAGCAATTACCCACTCTTCCTGCTCAGTAGGCAAGTAAGATCAGGATGGCAGAACCACATATAAGGACAGAAATGTGATTAAACAGGTTGAGTAGTTTGTGCTGTTCTACCATATTGTACAACTTCTCATCTTTCACTGAGCAGAGTGAAACGTGCCTGTTTCAGACACTGAAACATTTCATTTACTTCTGCAGTGCTGGAAGTACAAATGCAAAGTACTCAGCTGAATGGGCATGTGCGTCAACCTGGTACAGTCACTACCTGGATGAGATATCCCATCTGCACTTGTATATGGACTATGTTAGTATCATTGAAATGTTTCTCTGACTTTCTTTTGCGATAAACAGGAAGACGAATGCTTTTGTGGGCAAGACACAAGCCCAGAAGTCAGGATGCGGGGTTTCAATCACTGAGCTCTGCCGTGGTTTCCAGCATGACCATCAGCATGTCATTTAGGGGGCTGTAGGGGGTACCACCTAGGCCTGGGTTTGACACACACACAGTGGGGGTGGGTAAGTGAAGCCATGCTTCTTGGGGAAGCAGTCCAGACATACGTGCCCTTAACCTCTCTGATCCCCTTCTGCAAACTGGGGATGGAGGCATATTCCAGGCTTACAGGATTGTTGTGAAGGTAGATACAAGAAAGATGCTGGGGTCCATGCAAGCACCTTATACATGCAGCCCTCCTAATTCACAGAAATGTGTGAAAATCTGACCCCATCCTACCAGGAAATCTCAGAAACCAGAAGTGCAATAAAAAAATCCTGCAAAAATATTTTTTCTTAGGCAATCAAGATTTTCTGGGGCAGACCAGCTCTCTTTCTGTAATGTTTGGAGTTGGCTATTATCTGCCTCAACAGGAGCATTATGTGTCCAAAACATTACTGTAGGTAAATTGCTTTGAAATCCTTGGAAGGAAGTTGTCAAAGATGCACAGGGTGCCAGGCACTGTGCATTCCCAGCAAAGCTTTGACTCTTTTATTTAATTAAGGTTTGATTTTTGGTTGTCAGCTATAGTGCAAAGAAATAAAAATGGCTGGACTTTGAGAAGCAACTTTAGGGGCTTGATTGCTTTGAAGTTTCCCCAGTTAGGCAGGTGGCTCTTGCTGACACTGCTTTGAATTCTGTACACTCAACCAATAAAGACGACATCTCTCAGGGTGCCCTGAAATTTAAAGCAGTTGCAGGTAATTAAATCAACTGTGACTTTGTGCTGTGGGCCATGATATATAGCATCATGCATCCAACTCCACTTGTCTCCTGCACTTCTGCCAACCCCCAGACATACCAGTAAGTCAGAGTGTAGTTTATGGCCATGATGAGAAGAGCAGCTGCATAGTGCCAGAAGAAGCACATGGTGATGAACATAATGTTGTCGTGGTCCTTTTCATCCCAGTCGGGGCCTCCCCATGGTGGGTACAATACAAACCCAATCTGATAGAATAAAACAATTCATTAGCACTGAGGGAAAAAAAAGCACCCCTGCTGCTCCAGCCTCTAATGTTGCTCCCCTTCACTCTCCCCTCAACAGGGCTTCACACCGTAATGGGGTAGTCTGACAACTACCCGAGAAGAAGGCTTGCTTTGAGGTAAAGGTACTGGACTTGGACTCAGCAGGGATAAGTCTGCTTTTCTGTGAATCTTGGATAAGTCTGCAAAATGGTGATACTAGTGCCCAACCTCCCAGGCATGCTAGGAAGATAAATTTAAAGATTGTGAGGTGCTCAGAAAGTGTGGAGAAGGAGCGCCTAGGAAAACCCATCAAGAATGCTGAGCGGAGAGGCAGAAGCCTCCGACACCACTGTATTCACCCACTTTGCAGGAAGCACTGGGCTCGACAACCTTTGAATTAGATTTATGTTCAAGAAAGGAGGTTCCCACGCTGAATCGAGCTGGAGAATGCAGCTACACCCTTGGGCCGACTGTCTCTTGTGTGCCCTTTGACTTAAAGATGCATGTTGAATGCTTTGAAACTACAAATGCGCACGGCAAACACATCCTTGGCTGCGTTTTCTCAGCACGCAGTGTTAAATGGTCACTGCAATATCACCCAGCAGCTCATGAGCCATTTTAGACCTGCAGGACTCTTAAACCTTCCACTCCGTCAGGGGGGATACCATGGGGTCCGTTATATTCAATACTTTTGGAGAAACATTAACTAGTACAAAATGATGAGAACCTGGCAAAATTCCATTTGCTTACGGTGAGTAATTTCCCCTTTCTCTTTTTAGATGAGTGAGCGGAGAAAAGCAGTGATTTCATTATCAACCACCATAGGAAATGGCCTGGGGCTAACCAGTTTTAAGGGCAATTTTTCACAGCTAGGTTATGAAGCATCTGCCATAATCTTGCAAGATTATCCATTAGGGACAACTGATTTGTGTGCGACTCATTTCCTCCTTGCACTCATTCCTCTCCCATCCTAAGGCTGAGCCCCAAAATGAAGCTCAGGGTGTTGAACTGACCTGCCAGAACCACGTTCCCTGAAGGATGGTGAGGCTAGCCCTAAATAGCTCCAAGGTCACATTGTCCCGCAGGAAGACTTCCAGTAAGATGCTGAAGGCCCCACCAAAAATGGCAACGAGCAGCAGGGAGTGGATGTGCTGGTCTAGCATGGGGCGGTGAAGGACGTGGTAATAGAAGAGAAAACCTGTGGAAATCATTACACATTCATCATTGTAGCAACCAACACTTTGCTCCCATGAGTCTTTTCCCTCCATAAATCGCAAAGCACTTGTCCAAAAAAGAGGAGTTCCAGTAATGCCATTTGTAAAAACAGGAAGGCTGAAGAACATGGCCACTCAGGTGACTTGGCTGAAGGCACCATCCCAGGATGTGACTGGCCACCCTTCCCTCGCTATTGCGTTCCTGAGATGTTCTGTACCTCACTAGTTTAGTGTTCACCAGTTTTTCCTGGAAAACTGTAGATTGCAATTTTTTATAACTAAACTTTTGCAAACAGGAATGTTGGCGTCCGAGTTGCCCCACGTCGAACGTCCTGTCACTCACAGGAGCCCCTGTTCTGAATTCTCCAACCCGATCGGGATCGGGAGGAGGAAAATAATCACAAGGAATTCCTAGATCTAATGTATTCACCACAAATAAGTGCTTCAGTTGCACACTGTCATCCTCTTGCCCTGTTCAAGTTGAGAGCAACCTGAAATCCTGGCCCTGACTGTGCAGGATGGGAAAATAGTATTTGTGATGCAGTGAAGTCAGCAAACGGGCTCTGTGGATGTGCTGTGTGAGGAGAAAGCAAAGCAGGTGAGACTGACGGTGTCTGGAGTGCAATGAATTACTCTCTGGGGGCACACGCAGCACAGGAACACAGCTCGAAAGCTGTAATACAAGCGTAGCATCCACTAGCCCATTATTGTACCAAGTAAACTGAGCTTGTTTCAAATCACAACGCCATTGTCACCTGAGGAATCCATGCTACCCTCGGGCATGGCGGTAATTGTGAGGCAGTTGCTCCTGAAATAAAGGCAGAATCGTTAGCTCATCTCTGATGGTTACAGCATGGGCTCGATTCAGATCGGCTCCTCAGGCGCGTGAAGTGGAGTTAGGCCGGGTTTAGTTATAGATGTTCTGAAGAGCGATTCAAATTGACCCTGCTCCCATAGTCACAAAACTCAGTAGGTGCCTAAATCCATTAGACAGCTGCATTTTGGACTGCAAGCTTCCTAGGCATCAAGTTCCCGTAGGTGGGACACCTCTTGGTCTCAACAACATGTCCTTATCCTGACTGGCATTGGCACCTTCTGGCTAGTTACGTTTCCGAGCCTCAAACTACTACCGACACGAAGCCGCTAAGGAGCATAAAGCCACTCGTAGTCTCACTCCACCCCAGCTAACCTCTCCACAGTCCAGCATTACTGACGGTGAGAAGACTGATCTGCAAAAGCCCGATGGCAGAGGTTCCCTTCTTATTATATGCAGTGGCTGCACTTTGCATCTCACTACAGACGGCCCTTCACTGACAACCCAGGCTTAAATGCACTCTAGCTTGGGGAAATGGAGAACAATATCTACCAGGCCTCCTGCTGCGCACGCTTGCTTCCCCCCTGCAGCTTCTGCCTCCCCACCCAGCCTCTTTCTTCCCCATTACTGTGGGGTACAGCTCAGCTCTGGCTTGGGCTGGGGTTTCTCCCAGGCACTGAGCTCATACGGACTCCTTTCCCTGCTCAGTCAGTCAGCATTGCCCATGCTCCCACGCTGCCCGGACACTGCTGCATGGCAGGGTGAGGACTGACTTTCCATGTGCACTGCTGTGGGACAGAGTGGTCCAGTCTGACAGTGCAGGGGGGAGAGGCAGAGAGTAGGGAGAGTTTGTGGGAAATATGCAGAGGCTGAGGGGAATGGGAGGAGGTGTGGAGGCTGGCGGTGGCGGGGTGTAGGTGTTGGGGGGAGGGAGGAAACCTGCAGAGGGAAGAAGTGGTTGGGGCCGAGGGCAAGGGAGCCACCTCACCTCCCCACCCCAGCCTTTTTTGCTGCACCATTGGGCAGGGGGAATTCGAGACAACTCTCCAATACCTATTCCTATACCTGGTAAATAATAACATTTATAAATTTTCCATATATAGAATCTAATTATAGGGGGTAGTCTTATATTTGAGTAAATATGGTAATTAACAGTTTATTCCAGTGACTTTTTGTGTCAGTTCTCCTATCCCTTAATCACTAGTGGGATAAGAAAAACACAGTTGTTAAAGGGCTTTATTATACTCGTAGGTAGAGGTTTTCAAATGTGGCTACAGGATATGGATGCACAGATATACGGTTCCCACTGGTTTCCTTGAGAAGGTGTCTAAATCCTCTAGGCCACTGGTGCCCATCTTTTCTGGCTCATGGGTCAGATGAGTGAGGTGCAGCTGGTCCACAGGCCAGATTCAGTTTGCAGATTAACTCGTGCATAGATTTGGGAGCCCACACCGAGTCCAGCCCCACAGGTTGTGGCCCACCCACATGCTGATTCTGGTGCCGCATGCTGAGTCCCACCCCACGCACTGAGTCCAGGACCACCAGGAAGCAGCCACATGCCCGATGCAGCCCCATGTGCTGGGATGCTACTAACCTTCAACAAACACAGCAACAGAAAGCATGAGCCGATCTAGTCCCAGGGGCAGTTTGAGTGGGGAGTACGAGAGCACATCCACAACACCTGAGATCCCATAGAACAGATACATGGTTGTGTGCTGCCAATTTGCTAGCTTCACCCAGCTGTGTTCCTGGCTGCTGTACAGATGCATGTGGGGACCATCGGGGACAAACTGCTCAGCCAGCATCCCTGGAGAAAGACACACAACGGGTGACACTCATGAGTAGATACAGTGCAATACATTGCAACTGGGAAATCCGTTTCACAGTCCTTACCTATTAAGGCAAAGATGACTTTGGCTGCCCCTTCAATGACATCCAGGCGCTGATAGCAGCGGTTTCTATGGCACTTCCTGTTCAACTTCTGGCTGAGATACTTGAATGAATATTTCACAGACCACCAGAGTCCAAAGAGGAGGAAGAAACTGCCTGGGAGGGCATGACCTTTGAAATTCGCCATTGCAGTCCACTTCCTAGAGCTAAAAGGCAAAAAAATCTCAGGGTAAGTCTTGACCTCCCCAACAATGCCAAAAAGCACTGCCTGAGCACTGGGGGGGGGGGGGGGGGGGGGGAAAAAA